ATATAGAGATATAGAGATATAGAGATATAGATATATAGATATATAGATATATAGATATATAGATATATAGATATATAGATATATAGATATATAGATATATAGATATATAGATATATAGATATATAGATATATAGATATATAGATATATACTAAATGAAGTTTCCACAAAAAGTATACTGAATTTTCGGCCGCTGACTTCAACCTCCCTCAGAGTTAAAATGTCAAGTTGATTTGAACAAGCTTATAAGTACTTAGCATATGCAAATCTACAATTACTAACTTACAATACTATATATATATATATATATAATTCAATTTATTTTGGTTGTCTAGATATATAAAGTGCTCAATACTAAAAGTATAGCAGAGCTTATTAGATTGTCTATATCTTAAAATTAAATATCGCTACTCTGAGTTTCACGTCCTTTCTAGACGATCATCAGGCGATTTTGTTCACGATTTTGTTACTGATTACGTGATTGCATCATCATCAACCGTTCGCTGACGCGTTAACTTGTTTGTTCGCGCGCGTTCGAATTTCCCGGCGCTGAATTTTTCTCGATGGCGACATTTCGCGAAGAACTCGGATCTTTTGTTCAACAGATTGGTTTTATGTGATTTCATGATTTCTAATTTCTCTTCTATGCACAGATTACAACGTCTACCGCCAGGTACATACGCTGCTGCTCGTTTCAAAATGGACCACTTAATACTGTATTCCCTTTTCTTGTCCTTCAAATCCCATACGTATTTGGAAAGTTCTGTGTCAGACGAGTACGCAGGCTTATTAAACGACTTTTTGTGATTTCTGTATCTAACCTTGAACTCCGTGGAAGTCATTCCAATGTATTCTTTGGTCGTTCCATCATGGGGTGTTGTTATTTCTGCCTTATAAACTACGTTGCTGGTCAAACACTTTTCATTCAGTGGACACACGTTAGATTTTCTGCAGTCACATTCTTTGGGTTCAGGGACTGTAGAGGTTTTTGTTAGGAGGCGGTGGTTGTGGCGTGTTATGTTGCTCTTTACATTGTCCATACACGAGTAACTGACTTTGATATTGTTCCTATTGAAGATCTTGTGGAGTGGGTTTTTGGGTGGAAAATGCTTGTCGATGAGTTGAAGGAAAGTTTGAGCGACATTTGTTCTGACTGTTTTGCTGAATGGGGGGTTGAACCAGATGATGTTCCTACGGCGTTTTCTAGACGGTGAGCTTGTAGAATTATTATCGGTCGAATATTGCAACCTGACATCATAATTGCTATGTTTGAGCGCATTCTGGTACGGAGGTGCAGCAGAATTAAAAGTTGATTGGTCAGCAGATAGTGAGGAGATACGTTTGTTAATGGATGTAGGGATATGCTTGATTATGGAAGGTGGATGATTAGAGCAACTGTTGACGTAAAGTGGCTTGCTGTTCGGCTTTCTATAAGGTGAAAATGTCCCACTTTTCAGGTCTAGCGTTACGTCTAAGAAGTTGACAATATGGTGGTTGACGTCCGCAGTTATTTTCAACCCGAGGTCATTAAATAAAGCATGTAACTCGTTTCTTGCTTTGTCACCCGCTCTGGCGCTTCTGCCCTTTAACAGAGCTAAACCGTCATCCCGATACAATCCAACAGATTCATTTCCAAATTTGGCTGCCAGTTTATTTAAGATGAAAAGACCGACCAGGTTGCATATTTCCGCGCCGTCAAAGCTGCCCATCGTAACATCAAACATTGTATCGTTGTTTCGCTTAACCCATGGTGTTTCTTGGTTGAAGAGCAAGGACTTTCGAGCATGTTTGATGATAGATATGTGATTATCGGGAATGGGTATGATGGTCTTGGCCCAGCCAATGACTTTGTCGAGAAGATCTTCTGTTATTGAAGGATAAAATTCAACGATGTCGAATGAAAGAAACATGTGGTTTGATTTGTTGTTCACAGATTGAAACCAGTCTATAACAGAATGAGAATTTTGCCACTGGTTGACTTTTATTGCAGAGTTTATTCTAGCATTTATGTCGTCCAGGATAATTTTGCTCACTTTTCCAAGTTCGCTCTTGGCAGGATTAATAAGACGGAACTTCGGGTTAGATTCAAAGTTTTCTTTGTGATCTTTTAACGTTATGTATGCGCTTCGTTTAGCCATAGTGTCTACTCGGTTACCAATGGAGAGATTGCTAGCTATATTTCTCAGTTCATCATTAATATCATCTGTTACATTTTCGTTTCCAAGTTTGTACGTTTTTGTGATGTTTTCCATAAGCAGTTTGTTGTAATTATCAGGAGAGGTTTCATAAACATTGGTTGATTTATCAGCATAAACAAAAACGTTTTTTGATGAATGTACTTTTTTAAGATCTTCATGGATTTTATTTAAAAAAGAATCGTTTACCTTTCTGAACGTAATGTTTGATGTTAATTTAACCAGATCTTCTTCAAATGCTTTCATTTCACTTATTGGCATAGCGTAATTTCTTGATGGCAAACCAAACTTGTTCTCTGATTTTGTTGGTTTGTTTTCGTTCAAAAAGAAATGCGCTTTCCACCTCATTCGTTGAACAACGCTTTCAACTTTTTCGATGAGACGCCTTCGATACTGATCTTTCGATGGTAATCCGATATTCTTTAGCGAATAGTTAAACTGAATCCGATGCATTTTTCAAGATATATTTGTGAATATCCACACAAACTAGAGTGCACAACTGAGAACCAGGTGCAATTGTAATTCAATTTATTTTGGTTGTCTAGATATATAAAGTGCTCAATACTAAAAGTATAGCAGAGCTTATTAGATTGTCTATATCTTTGTAGGAGTTACATGCTTTATTTAATGACCTCGGGTTGAAAATAACTGCAGATGTCAACCACCATATTGTCAACTTCTTAGACGTAACGCTAGACCTGAAAAGTGGGACATTTTCACCTTATAGAAAGCCGAACAGCACGTCAACAGTTGCTCTAATCATCCACCTTCCATAATCAAGCATATCCCTACATCCATCACTATCTGCTGACCAATCAACTTTTAATTCTGCTGCACCTCCGTACCAGAATGCGCTCAAACATAGCAATTATGATGTCAGGTTGCAATAATCGACCGATAATAATTCTACAAGCTCACCGTCTAGAAATCGCTGTAGGAACATCATCTGGTTCAACCCCCCATTCAGCAAAACAGTCAGAACAAATGTCGCTCAAACTTTCCTTCAACTCATCGACAAGCATTTTCCACCCAAAAACCCACTCCACAATATCTTCAATAGGAACAATATCAAAGTCAGTTACTCGTGTATGGACAATGTAAAGAGCAACATAACACGCCACAACCACCGCCTCCTAACAAAAACCTCTACAGTCCCTGAACCCAAAGAATGTGACTGCAGAAAATCTAACGTGTGTCCACTGAATGAAAAGTGTTTGACCAGCAACGTAGTTTATAAGGCAGAAATAACAACACCCCATGATGGAACGACCAAAGAATACATTGGAATGACTTCCAATTGTATTGGAATGACTTCCAAGGTGTTCAAGGTTAGATACAGTAATCACAAAAAGTCGTTTAATAAGCCTGCGTACTCGTCTGACACAGAACTTTCCAAATACGTATGGGAATTGAAGGACAAGAAAAGGGAATACAGTATTAAGTGGTCCATTTTGAAACGAGCAGCAGCGTATGTACCTGGCGGTAGACGTTGTAATCTGTGCATAGAAGAGAAATTAGAAATCATGAAATCACATAAAACCAATCTGTTGAACAAAAGACCCGAGTTCTTCGCGAAATGTCGCCATCGAGAAAAATTCAGCGCCGGGAAATTCGAATGCGTGCGAACAAACAAGTTAACGCGTCAGCGAACGGTTGATGATGATGCAATCACGTAATCAGTAACAAAATCGTGAACAAAATCGCCTGATGATCGTCTAGAAAGGACGTGAAACTCAGAGTAGCGATATTTAATTTTAAGATATAGACAATCTATATATATATATATATATATATATATATATGTTATAAGTATTGTAAGTTAGTAATTGTAGATTTGCATATGCTAAGTACTTATAAGCTTGTTCAAATCAACTTGACATTTTAACTCTGAGGAAGGTTGCAGTCAGCGGCCGAAAATTCAGTATACTTTTTGTGGAAACTTCATTTAGTATATTTATTAGTTTCGTTTTGCCATTGGTCAGTTTGATCACATGATCATATTACGTGGTCAGACCACATGGACAATTTATTCATTATTGATTAAGGGTTTGATCAGCACGGTGTTTATGTAAATTATGCCAATAAAAACTATATAAAAAGTTGGACTAGTCTTGCTTTTTAAATGGAGCCCGATAGGGGACGGTATTAAAGAATAAGGGGATGGTATTAAAGAATAACTGGACGGAGTTCGAGCGCTGAGCGTTACTGTGTTGGCAGCGAACATTGGTTTAAATGTGTCTTTTGTGCGTCGGCGGCGGTGATTCACTGATTCTTTGTTTGTAAAAGTGAGGTAAAATTTTCGTCCTTTCTTTATTGTTAGGCTTTTACAAATCTTATAACGGTTTCTTTGTAGTTCGGAGTCCTTTCTGTTTCTTAGTGAAACAAATAATATTGTTTTATTTGGTTGTAAATTGCATATTTGTGGTTTGTAGTTGTGAGCATGTGTTTAGGCAGTTCGGTTTTGAGTGATCTAAATGATTATGTTTCCTCCTATGAGCCTAAGGAAATTGAACCTGAAGTTGTAGACCATATGAAAAGCCTAGAGCCTGTTCATAGGATTCTAGCAACGGTAGATTTGAAACTGGAGAAACTAACGCAAAGTCAAAGTCCTATGACTATGAGTAATATGAGTAGTTTTAATAATAGTGTAGTTCAAAGCACAAGCCAGTCTGTTCAATGTAGATTGCCTAAGATGCAAATGCCAGAATTTGATGGGGATCCACTAACATGGCAAGGGTTCTGGGATCAAGTTTCAATCCATAGTAATGCTAACATTAGCAAAATAGATAAATTCAATTATCTTAAAGGATGTCTAAGGGGAGAAGCTCTAGCTGCAATATCCGGTTTGATGTTAAGTTCAGATAATTACAAAGAGGCTATTCCACTATTAAAGAATAGATTTGGAAATGAACAGCTATTAATATCTAGCCATATGGAGTCATTACTTAAAATTAGTAAGATTAGATCTCAGGAAAGTACTAGAGAGCTTAGAATGTTATACAATCATGTTGAAAATTGCATTAGGAATTTGAAATCCTTAAAATTGGACACTACTGGGTATGGTTCCATATTAATCCCTATTCTTAAGGACAGGTAACCAGATGAAGTTACCATGATAATCTGTAGGAAGTTTGGGAAAAATATTTGGACTTTAGATGGGGTAATGGAATATTTTAACGATGAACTAAGTGGACAAGAAAATTGTTCTTCACCACCTAATGAGCCTGATAAGCATAGGAAAGCAGGATACTATACCACAAGTGGCTTATTTAGTCAAGCAAGTAAAGGTTCATGTGCATATTGTAATAAGGAAGGGCATTTCCACTCTAAATGCACTATTGTCTCTAGTCCAGAGTCACCTAAGGTTATTCTTTGTAGAAATAACAGGTGTTTTACAGCCGATCCAGGTTGAGCGTTTAACGGAAGTGTTTGTACCGTTCGTTGTAGGCGTTCCAACGTGACGTTTCTAGGTATGTAAGCATGCGTTTCCAGGTACACAATTAGGTGTTGTCACTTCCGTTATTCCCTGACAAACAAACACAAATTTATATTGTTTGTATGAGTCTATTCTATTCATCGCTGTAATTAAAAATGGATTTAATACAAATAAAGTGACTTACAACTACTACTCCAGTAAACGTGTTACACCTGTGTACATGCGAGAAGAAGAACTGGAAAACTTTTCGTTTATACAGTTCAAAATGCAAATTTTAAAAGAGGTCCCACACTTAACCAAAGCAGTCTCTCTGCGTTGGACCGTGGACGAAGTCGATTTGTCGCCTTTGTACTTTAATTACCAAGTCAGAGGCCTGTTGCAGAAAAAAAAGAATATAAAGATCAACGTTATAGAATTCAAATCGCCAGCAGCGTGTACTTCGTTTTCATCCTGTGACGAAGCCCCCCTCAAAGGAAAAATTAGCTCCATGTGTAGCAGCACAGCCAGTACTTCGAGAAACGTTTCTATTGGAAAAGCACATGCACGTAGGACATTAATTCTTAACCCTGTTCAAAACCAAGATGATTTAGACACCGATGGCGATACGGACGAAGAAATCGAAGCAATGGAATGGCCTCATATAATGCTTCCGCTCGAAAGATACGCCGTAAAGCAAAAAGAAACGGTTGATAATATTTCACAAGAATAAAAAACAGGAATCCACGAGCTTGAAATGTTTGATGAAAAAATTAATCGGGCTTCGTCCCAAAATATGGGTAATCTTTCCATGTGTGGTAACTGTCATTTGAAGCTTGAACATACAAAAAAGAGCTGTACATTTAGTCCGTGCAAATCTGCATTTTCGTGCGGTCAGTTGTCAAAACATGCGACTGCAAAGGCTCAAAGAGTATCGATTGACAAGGATATTGGCCGCTTGCGAGTCAAACTAACTAAAGCTCAGAAAGATGTGGAGGATGCAGGTTGCGCTGCTGAAAGACTTAGCAACTCTGCTTCGAAACGGATTGAAGATGTCGTTATTACTGAGATGCCAGACAGGTACGTTACTAATGGCCTACGAAACTGGCCCCTTTTAAGTAGAGATGTTGCAACTCTCCAAAAACGTCTTAATGGGAAGCTTCCTTCACGGGAGAACGTTCAAAAACTTCTTAAAGACGTTGTTGACGTTACAGCATCTAAACCCAGAAGAGGAAAAGTTTATCAACAGTCTAGCTGCACAATCACCAATGCTAATTCACCTTCGATCTTTCCAAATGAGACTGACCACCGGATGAGCGCACAAAAGTGTTTGTTATCTGACGACTACGCCATAGCCTTTCCGAAGAAAAGAGCATTACCTGCAGCATCTTCAATTGTTTGTGACGAGGTTTGTGATAGCTCATCGATGAGCGACTTTAAACTCGCATTGAAACTCCAACAGGAGGAAATGGAGTCCCCGCAAAAAAATATGACAGTGTCAACTACACGGATACAGTTTTCCACTGATCCTAATGCTATGGACAAAGAAATATTCGTCTCTGATGACTCTGACCCATTAATTTCCTTCACACCAGCATCTGAACGATATAACGAAGATAATATCGAATGGACCATTTGCATTATAGACTAAATTTTGATCTAGACAAAAATTTCATCGCAGCTTGAAAGAGCATCACAAAGTTAGTAATATTCCAAAGTTTTGCGAAATGTTGTAAAATGCGGATAATATAGCCTTGCGAAGTTTGCCGTTTTTCGGTCATTTTGTATTACAAACGGGAAATTGACTGCCCAATCGGGTGTTGGGGCATCAATTTCCTGTTTGTAATACAAAATGACTGAAAATTGCAAATTTCGCAAGGCTATATTATCCGCATTTTACAACATTTCGCAACGAAACTTTGGAATATTACTAATTTTGTGATGCTCTTTCAAGCTGTGATGAAATTTTTATCTAGATCAAAATTTAGTCTATAATGCAAATGGTCCATTGGAAGCTGATGCAGCTGCCGCTTTGCTGCAGTTGAAACGCGTCACGAGCCACGAAGTTGACATACAGTTTATAATATAGGTATAAAAAAAAAGTCTTTTAAGAGACACATAGCCGGCTACTATCTGACATTCTAACGATAGTCTATAAAGTATGTACATAACTTTATATTACATAATTGTTTTAATTCGGTTTGGTACAGAACGTTCTTGCCAGGCAGTATTTTCAAAGTTGCATGATGAACTGAAAAATATAATTCATATAGTTGACTTACAATTGGAAGCCATTTAAGTGCAAGTGACTAAAAGTGTTTACTAGTATACGATATGTTTGGGAAAGCTATACAATACTATAGTTTATCAAATCTGACACTGCAATACATGGCGAAACATTAGCCGATCCAATACTATACGATACTAGTAAACTACTGTTTTATATCAATATTTGATATGTTAATGTTTATAGTGTTAGTGAGTTGTTTATTTTAATATTGTTAAACAAAACCAGTAATGTAGCAATGCCAATGTGAGTCTGTCTATGTTTATGACTATGTGTACAATATATACAGGGTGTATAAAAAACGGAGTTCTCCTAAAAAAGCTTCAAAATACACCGTAATTATAAAATTATTTTAGTCCTATCTTGAAGCTTATTCTAGGTCTAGAGGACTTCGTTTTTTCTGATACACCATGCATGTTACAGCATTTATATACTATACTATGTACTATACTTCAACATGCATGAAGCTTTATATTATATGGCCTATGGCTATGGGTCTAAATAGCCAGTAATCTGATAAAAAGCTTGCATGTCCCCTGGTGATATGAAATTAGCAGCCATATATACTGCTTCTTTCAAGTTCGTGTTCGTAAGTTCCCGAAACTGGTATTTTAGTAAACATTTTTACTTGCCAAAGACATATTCGGCAGGATTAAAATCTGGGCTATAAGCTGGCATATAAACTAACTCAATGTTTAAATCATTTAGAAAATCTTGTAGGATGCATCCTCCTTCGTTATGATGTACATGTCTCCTACTTCTAGACAAGGTCGACCTGTTGCAGGGTTCACCGAGGTATACGCTTCCTCAAAAAACCTGAGAAACTCTAATGTGTTTGATGGACCATCGATGATATTCATGTATGTTACACCAGTGAGAGAACACAAGAGATTAACAGTTGTATTTGTTGTTTCACAGTATCTATGTATTTCAACTGCTCTTTCTCCTACTGGAGCGTGCCCGTAAAATCTTTTGCTGTTAGCCGGCAACTTTACACCGCATTCGTCAAAATATTTTAAAGTGTATGGATCCTTTGTGTACAAATAGTCGACAAACATCTGCGTATATGCCATGTTTTGGATGGTAAATCGTTCCTGAGCTACATGCGTCATTTTTTTATAACTAAAATTATCACCACTCGGCATTCTATGTCGAACAGCATTGCTAAGGGCTGTTTTTGATGTACCTCTGCACGGAAGATCGCCTACTTCAAACAAAATATCTTCTAATTCAGAATATGATATTGAAGGCCTCTGCCTTTTTATCACCTCGATTAAGTGCAGATCTCCATTGGACAGACCACTTTTGTTTCCCCCGCCGTGTTTAAGTGGACTTAAAGAGTTTGTTTCGTAAAACTGTTTCCATATCTTAGAAACTACCGCAGAAGACAACTTCAACTCGTTTGTGATATCGACATATCGTCCGGGAAAATAGCCGGTTACCTTATTTCCACCTCTGTGGATGATTTTATCAATAATAGTCGATCTTACATCTAATGACAAATCTTTTCCTGGCTGATATGAGCGACCTCTTCTGCTCAACTTCAACATATTTTAAACTTAGCGCTTAAATTCAAAAACTATACATGTAACAAAATATACACAGCGGAAGTGACAACACCTAATTGCGTACCTAGAAACGCATGTTGGAATGCCTACAACGAACGGTACAAACACTTCCGTTAAACGCTCAACCAGAATCGGCTGTATTTGTCTTGACAAGGGTCACATAGCTAGAAATTGTACATCTTCCTATGTTTGCCGGAGATGTAAGGGTGGTAAACACCATATCTCTATTTGCACTTCTGCTTCACATAGACCTCCCACAGATGCCCAAGATAATACTGATAAGGAAAATAAAAGAGAGGACTTTGTAGGCCACACTGGTTGTGATAAGAATGGGATATTATTGCAAACAGCCAGAGCAGATATACGCCCCATGGACGAGTCTGAGCAAGTTAGTTCTAGAATACTATTTGACAGTGGTAGTCAGCGGACATATATATCGGAAAAGGTTCGAAATAGACTTAGGTTGAAGGCATTAAGATCAGAGAAAGTGATAATTAAGACTTTTGGTCAGAGTGAGGTTCAAAGATTGGATGTAGTTCAATTGAAGATTAAGAGTAAATGTGATGTGTTTATGTGTATTGAAGCATTATGTGTTCCCACTATATGTAGCCCACTAACAAATCAAAATCTGTCTAGTGTACAAGGATTGTCTGAGTTCAGAGGGTTGCAATTTGCAGACTTTGAACATCAAGATTCCACAAATTTACCAGTAGGCATCTTAATTGGTATTGATTACTATCATATATTCATGACTGGTGAAGTAATTAGAAGTAAGGACGGTCCTGTAGCTAGTTGTACGAAAGTAGGCTGGGTAATGAGTGGTCGTTTAGGTTCAGCTTTGTCTGATATGCACTGTTTAGAGACATATTTGCTATGAACTACAGTGGATGAGGGTAATGATTTACGACAAGAGTTACAAAAATTTTGGGATGTTGAGAATGTAGGACCTTCCACAGATTGTGTTACTAGTAAATTTAAAGAAAATATAATGCACAACGGTACTCGTTATATAGTTAAGTTACCCTTTAAGCCTGATCATGAATTGCTTCCTGTTAACTATAACGTGTGTGAAGGGCGACTGAAATCCTTAACAAATCGCTTGGCATCAAAGGGTATCTACAATGATTATAATTCAATTTTTAAAAATTATGAAGAGGAAGGTATAATCGAGCGGGTCCCAGTAGAAGAAATTGCCAAGGGAGCAGGTGCAACTCACTATCTTCGTCATAGACCTGTTGTTCGTGAGGATAAGCAAACAACAAAAATAAGAGCTATGTTTGACGCTTCTTGCAAGGTCGATGGACCTTCCCTGAATGAGTGCCTGTATGCCGGTCCTAACCTCATTGCAAAGATATTTGATATACTTGTTAGGTTTAGATGCAATAAAATAGGGTTGCTTACAGATATAAAGCAAGCATTTCTGAATGTTCAAATAGATAAGAAACACAGGGATTATCTTCGATTTTTATGGTATGATTCAAATTCGGAGCAAAGCCAGACAGTAGTTTATAGATTTCTGAGGGTTGTATTTGGGGTTACTAGCAGCCCGTTTTTGTTAAATGGTACTATTAGACATCATCTTAATAAATATGTAGACAGAGAACGCAATTGTAGATCAGTTGAGAGATGACTTTTATGTAGATGATTTGGTTAGTGGTTGTCAGGTAGTGAGTGAAGGTAAAGAAATTTATGATAAGAGTAAGTCTATCATGCAAGATGCCGGTTTCGATCTAAGGAAATGGGTTACAAATGATCCATAATTGATGAATTACATTTTGTCTAAGGAGGTAGATAAGGAAAGTGTGCCAGGATAGGCAGATGATATGAAATACTTTGAGGTTACGTCTACTAATATAGATACCAACACTAAAACAGTTTTGGGCTTGTCATGGGACACAACTTCTGATGAGTTTGTTTTTCGTTTTGACAACTTGTTGAGTAAATGTTGTAGCATGACACTAACTAAAAGAAATATTTTAAGTGTGTCGGCCTCCATTTTTGATCCTCTAGGCATGCTTTCTCCGGTCACTGCAAAGATTAAATCATTGTTTCAACTCCTTTGTAAGGACAAGTTGGATTGGGATGACGTAATCCCAAAGGAACTTGAAGAAATTTGGGGAAAAATCATAGGTGATTTAAAGTTACTTAAGGAAGTTAGGTGCGATCGGTTTGTTTGTATTAGTAATTTTCATGCCGGTGTTCGTGTTGAGCTGCATGGTTTTAGTGACAGCTCCAAGGAAGTTTATTCTGCAGTTGTTTATCTTCAGCTCATTTATGCCGGTGCTGTTAAAGTCAGTTTCTTAGCTTCTAAAACTAAGGTCGCTCCTTTAACTCTTTCTCAGCTGGGTCCATTACGCGTAGAACGTGCACGTTCTACGGATGTAATTCGTTCATATCTTTGGTTCAGTGCATGCTATGTAGATGAAAATACCACCATTCGATTCAGTATAAAAATATACACTAATTTATAACGATAGTTTTAGTCAGTGGCTAAATTGTAGCGATTTATGAGCTTTGAAAGTCAAGCGAGCTTGGTATTTGATCAAATTACACAATATTACTAACAAATTATAAACATAGACATACCTTTCGCCGAACATAACTTCGGCCCCTTTAGACGTATGCTCATTCTGGTAGTCTTGATGAATGAAGCAGTTAAAAATAACATGTATACTGTTATCTTTAAAATGTGAGTTTTCTTGCCGAATTTTGCATTTCTGCCCCGAATTTGCGTTAATCCCAACCGGAAATACGACGAAAAACCGTCAAAACAATGCGAAGTTTGTATCGCGTGACTCTGGAAATGCCAGAAATGGATTCTACAGGTCAAAGTGCACCTATACGCGTGAGTTTGACGTCATCCCGGCTAAAGGGAGCTCCTTATTGGCCAAGTATTACGTAATACAAGCGCGTGCGAGTAAAACCCGATACCTTGAAAAATTCAAAATAAATATTTCTACTCGCCGTATTCATACGAAACTTTCTACACGAAAGCGCTTGAATACAAAGAGTATTTTACACATATATCCTTTCAGAAAATGTCGCCAAAGTTTAGAATCTATTCAACTTTTTAGTGTGAAGTTTCACTTCACACTGTTGTGATGGCCGGCGAATTCACACGAATCAGGGAGTAAACTTTCCGGGGGGTGTATACGATTTATGTTCGTAGTGATTTATTGTACTTAGTCAGTACTTTGAAGGTTATTTAGGCAATTTCAGTTATAATAATTTACATATTCTGTTATCCTTTTGCCAAGTTCACAAAAATTTCGAGGAATCGCTTTTGTTATTGTAATTTTTTGCAAATTTAGAACATTCGCTTCTCATGTTGTGTAAAGGATCTTTACCCCGGAACACCCGATTTTTTCCTTAGTAGCGCAAATGCGCATGCGCTATCAAGCCGTAGATCACGATGGCGTGACGATATGCTAGGAAGGGGGTGACAGTGTTGTTTTCAGATGTATAAAGATTTCAGACGTGAATATTGAGTAAATCTTTGAAAATCTATGCAATATATAAATTGATCTTATGCATTACGGGCGTTCAATTAAGTGCCGATAATATTTAGACGGTATATTCATTATACAGAGCTAGGAAGGAGCTAGACCGCCTAGACAGTGCAGTCAAGTGTGTAAACATTTCAGACGTAAATATTGAGTCGAATATCTTGATTCTAGGCATTCATTTGAGTGCCGATATTATTTTCACGGTATTCTCATTATACAGAGGTACAGTACGTAGGCAGAAACGAGACAGTGTTGTTTTCAAGTATATAAAGATTTCAGACGTGAATATTGAGTAAATCTTTGAAAATCTACACAATATATAAATTGATCGTATGCATTACGGGCGTTCAATTTAATAAGTGCCGATAATATTTAGACGGTATATTCATTATACAGAGCTAGGAAGGAGCTAGACCGCCTAGACAGTGCAGTTAAGTGTATAAACATTTCAGACGTAAATATTGAGTCGAAAATCTTGCTTCTAGGCATTCAATTGAGTGCCGATATTATTTTTTCACGGTATACTCATTATACAGAGGTACAGTACGTGCAGGCAGAAGCGAGACAGTGTTGTTTTCAAGTATATAAACATTTCAGACATGAATATTGAGAAAATCTTTGAGATTCTACGCAATAATAGTAATACAATATATAAATTGATGTTATGCATTACCGTCGATATTATTTAGACCGTGTATTCATTATACATTCTCATTCACTGTATAAGGTGCTACATCACAGAATAGATGGCTATACTTAGTACAAAGAGCGAAACATTGCATCAGATTTGTATCAGATCAATAAAGCATAAACAACTATTAAACAGAAGCGGGTAAACGTTTGTACGGCGTTTAGAAAGAAAAAAACTTACGAGACTAAAGGAATCAGTTGAGTCAGAGCTCCTTGTATAAATAAGAAAGGTGAGGAGATAGCCAACGTGTTTAGGTGTTATCGCCAACGTATTATCGCTTAATTGGCTCGCCAACAAGCTTTATGCAATAGAAGAAAAAAGCAAGGAGGTACTGTACATGTAGCCAACGTGTACATTCACAGACCGTGTCTTTGTTTACTGTCTAGTGTCTAGCACAACGCCGTTGCCAACGGTGCAAACTCGTATTCAGTGCAACGATAACTCTACCAGTGATCTTACGAGAATCAATCTGTAGTATTCTGTACACAGAACTGTATCAAAGCTTGTCAAAAATGTTTTAAACACTGCTATAACTGTGAAACTATTGAAATCTAAAGTGATATTTATATTCAACACATCCGAAAAGCTGAAAATAGACACACGTCACACTGGGAAAAGTCAAAGGTCAATGAAACTTGTTATTGTGAAACATGTCACAATTAAGTTAAAATGCGGAAGCGGATGGAGCGGATCCACGGAACGGATATGCGGATAAAATACGGAACAGATGATGATAAAATGCGTCTTTTAATGATGTAACGACGTAGTGCTTATTATTCATAACATATCTTATACAGCTATTTCAATTATAGTTTATTAGATAAATTTAGCATAGCAGTAGCCTCGTGGGGATGCTTTCAGCGACAGCTGCAAATGCAAATGAAAATTTAGAATATGCAAAAATTGGTTGTTGGTGACACAATAAATAGATGAATTGCATCAGTTTCACAAGGCACGTTTCTGATGTGTTAGGCTTGTTTCAAACGTCACGCTACTCGTGTGCCGAGCGTATTAAAAGCAATAAATAATGAGATGAAATGCCTTTGGTAACTGTTTATTTCGTAGTGTAAGCCATCAAGCTTTTCTAGGTTGTCGGCGACCCTATATAGTTCTTGCAGTGTCTTTTTAAATTTGAAACTTCACACTATCCTTGGATCCCTAGTTCTCTTTTTCTCGTTTGAATGTTTGGCGAAGCGGTGAGTATAAATATATGATTGTTTCGGTTTGTGTAATGTTTTGACGGCACTTGACCCCCCCTTTGAAAGGTTATATTGTGAGGATTTATTTAAAAGGGGGGTAAATACTCGCAGAGATATTTATATTAGAAAAATTGAATCGAAATGTAATACGAAACTACCGGCTGAGAAAGAGTTAAAAGCCTTAACTATACCAAAATCGGAACTCTTAGGTTGTTTGTTGCTTAGTAAGTTGGTTAGCCAAATAGTCACAAGCATAGGAAGTCGAGTTGGTATTAATGCTATTATTTGTTGGTCTGATTTGGAGGTTGCTCTAGCCTGGATTAGGGGTAAGGAAAAATCTTGGAAACCATGGGTTGAGAATAGAGTGGTTGAAATACGGAAGGTGGTTGATAGGGCTGGTTGGAGGATATGTAAAGAGTGGGCTAAATCCTGCGGATGTGCCTACTAGGATTTCTTCCAATATTTGTGAGTCTTTTACTGGTTGTTGGTTTGAGAGACCATCGTTTCTTTTGTCACTAAAGGATTATGCTGAGGTAGAAGTTGAGAATAGTGGTGGGGGCGAGATTTCCCAGGCGGGAATGGCTGAAGTGGCAAACTTCAGTAATCAGACGCACAAGGGCCAAGATAACCAAAAAGGTTCATTAAGTTCTGTCATTAACAGTGATCGCTTCAGCTCACTAAAAAAGCTTATTCTGGTAACGGGTTACGTATTACGATTTGTGAACAATTTACGAAAGAGAGTGAAAAGAGAAACAAATTTGATCACGGAGGATATGATAACTGTCACTGAATATAACGAAGCTCTAATTATGTGGATTAAAGATGAACAGTTCCAGTTAAGCAACAAGATAATTACTCAAAGCTCGAAGCATCATTACATTTATTTGAAGACAAGGACGGCGTTCTTCGATTACAAGGTCGATTCGCCAATGCATCGTTACAATATGAAGAACAGTACCAGATTATTTTACAGAATAGACAAAGCTATTTTATTTGGGTGGTGATTTTAAACACGCATGAAGAGACAATGCACCATGGCGTAGAGACAATGTTGGCACGCATTAGATCCAAGTACTGGATTGTCGAAGGGAGACGGTCGGTCAAGCAAATGTTGAGAAAGTGCGTAGTGTGCACACATGTGCAAGGACTACCTATGAGAGCTCCCCCAAGTCCAGACTTGCCTGACTTTAGAGTTGATCACTCTGGACATGCCTTTCAAGCAACGGGACTCGATTTTGCAGGTCCACTATTTGTCAAAGGAGATTTGAAACATGAGAAAACGTACATTCTCTTATTAACTTGTGCAACAAGTCGAGCCATACACTCGCAGCTCGTACCGGATATGTCGATCGGTGGATTTTTACATGGGTTTAAGCGATTCATGGCGCGAAGAGGTAGTCCGGATGTCATAATTCACGATAACTTTAAAACATTCAAAGCTGCTGCAGTCAAGAAGTTCATGTTATTGCAAGGGATCAAGCAGAACTTTATTTTGCCCTTATCACCCTGGTGGGGTGGGTTCTACGAACGACTTGTTAGGACAGTGAAAACGTGCCTAAAGCATTTGTAACTTTTGAGGAGTTACAGACCGTGCTCTGCGAGATTGAAATGGCTATTAACAACCGCCCTCTAGCATACGTTAGCGACTACGATTTGGATGACGCATTAACGCCGCATCATCTAATACACGGTCGTAATGCATTTAAACAAGCGAAAGCAATTGATTTTGTTCCGACTATGGACCTGGAGGAATGTAAAAATAGATTGCTTCATGTGCGAAAGGTATTGAGAGACTGTTGGGCAAGATTCCGTTGTAGCCATCTGAATGAATTGAGGCAAATGAATATATATCAAAGACAAAAGGTGAAAATACACGGCGTATTAGCATGGGGGATGTCGTTCTAATCAAGGATGACGAACTTTCGGTGCACACTCAGTGGAGAATGGGGAAAGTGTTGGGGTTAGTGAAAGGTCACAACGGTCAGATAAGGGGAGCCAAGCTCAAGGTACTCTCCAAGAAGGGAAAACAAACGGCAGTGTTTCGTCCGCTTCAAAGATTGATTCCTTTTGAAATCAACGAGAATCACGACTGTATGAGTGAACAGCAACTGAAGGAATCTAACGATAGTGTTGATAAAGACGAAAATGTGAACAAGGAAACCAGTGCGAAAAGGCCAACGCGAAAGGCAGCAGTAGAAGGACAAAACAGGCGTTGCATTCGAGAACGATATAATTAATTAAGCACTTCCAAACATTCACCAGATTTACTTTTTGGTGGGGGAGAGTGTGGAAACTTCATTTAGTATATTTATTAGTTTCGTTTTGCCATTGGTCAGTTTGATCACATGATCATATTACGTGGTCAGACCACATGGACAATTTATTCATTATTGATTAAGGGTTTGATCAGCACGGTGTTTATGTAAATTATGCCAACAAAAACTATATAAAAAGTTGGACTAGTCTTGCTTTTTAAACTTTTAATATTTTTTAATTGTATATAATAGATCAGTTACAACAATAAACAAAAACATGTCTTTTACTGATCGCACAATCAGCATATGTATGTAATAGATCAGTTACAACAATAAACAAAAACATGTCTTTTACTGATCGCACAACCAGTGTGTGTGTGTGTGTGTGTGTGTGTGTGTGTGTGTGTGTGTGTGTACGAGATAGCATTGCTCTCCATGATAATGGTAAATCGTAATATACCAAATTGATTTTGTATACTATAGTATAAGGCCACTTTTTTCAATCCTCTCATAACTAAACACAACAAATAATAAACATAAAGCTTTCTGTTGTAGTCAATACACAAAATAGCATGCCTGCAATGCCATCAAGTTCGGCTGAAGAAACAGACAGTAAGTTGCAGTGTAGTAGGACCTGTTAGTGTGCTGCTATTATATTGTTTATAGCTACCATATTATAATGCATACATATCGGCTTTATCGCTATACTGTATCAACTTAATATTTTTTTAATAATTTTAGACACGAAACGTCCTAGAAGACGTCTTCAGTTTGCATCAGGAACCATAGGTGTGCTGAATAGCCAGAACAGTACGTATTATAAA